TAATTAAACAACTTCCTGAATGTCCTCCAACGATTTACTGATAGTTAATTGTGTTTTACTAGATTGTTTACTGTAGTTAATTTGAAAACTCAGAATAATTCATATATCTCACACATTAACTTGATAGCAGCTAAATGGAAATAATGTGCATACATTTATCCTATGCATGTACATACATTTCCCAGATAGCAAAATATGAGTGAATCAACATTGAAATATGGTTAAAGCATGATCTTGAATCCTTGTTGAAATTATACAAAAGGAGTTGGTGACTTGTTGAGACAATGTTAGGTTTTCAACCATAACTGATTTTTGGTGATTCAACATTTATTAGATGTTGGGCTTTCGATCATTTGAATTCAACCAAGAAACATTGATTCAATAACATCTTTTCATTATTGGTTATTTGGCTGAATTGGATGATTGATGGTTGATTCATCAACAAAATTTATCTTTTTTGACCTTAATTCAACATTGAGTTAACATCTTTTGCTATCTGGGTTTGGCTTAATGAGTAAATGTTGTGAAAATTTTAAAAACTCTTTCAAGTTACAACTTTGTATAACCCAAACAAATAAACTTATGTATTATTACAAAGGTATTGATACTTTCTAGTTGTTTTAATCTTTGAGGAAATAAAATGAACAGGGCTTGTGTGTATTATATATTTTAAGCAAGTAAGTTTGAACTCACATTATTTAGGGAGCGAAGCCTGGCACAGAATACCTGAGAAAACACAATAGCTGTATATTTTCTTTCCATAAAATTTACAGTAAAAAAACAGAAAATAGCTGGATTATACAGAATCCTGAACTGTAATCAAGTGTAGAATCATGTCATGTTTTTAAATCCTTTCCTATTCTTTGTCATTGTTGATCATTTATTTTTGGAGTTTAATTTTTTTTAAATTCAAGTTGATATTTTCACCTTCCTTTGGAGTTTGTAGTAATGATGCTTTTATTTTGAAAAATAAAACAAGCGGAAGGGAACTCTCATGTTAGCATGTCATGTCTGCGTTGTTACTGTGAAGAAAAGAACGGCCTCAAATGCCCGAAGGTATATTTTCACAGCTCATTCTACTGAATATTACATGCATTTCAGCTTTGCAAGCTTGGTTTTTGCAGCTTTTGTCGATTTGAATCGTTAAAAGCTTAAAAAAGGGGGAATAAAAGGACATCTCGCAGCACAGCCTGTTAGCGGCTAAAGCTAACGCGCTGCAGCAGCTCCTGATGTCTCAGACCAAAACAGAACATTTTTTTCTTATCAAAAGAAATATTTACGGGTTTGAATAGATTTGCTTTTGGGTAAAAAGTTACATAGTCAACTGTTGGCAGACTAAATCTGTTTAATCCATCCATGAAAAGCAAGATATTTTAAATGAACAACTCTTAAATCACTGGGCCAAATTCCTT